CACTCACCACTGAAAAGAGTCCGGCCTCGCCATTCTGCCCCCCACACCTCAGATATTTATAGACCTGGATCAGGTCCCCTCTCAGTCTTCTTTTCTCAAGGCTGAACAGACCCAGTTCACTCAGCCATTCCTCATAGCAGAGATGCTCCAGGCCCTTCACCATCTTTGTGGCCCTCCGCTGGACTCTTTCCAAGAGATCCTTGTCTTTTTTGTACTGGGGAGCCCAGAACTGGATGCAGTACTCCAGATGAGTCCTCACCAGGGCAGAGTAGAGGGGGAGGATCACCTCCCTCGACCTGCTGGCCACGATCTTTTTAATACACCCCAGTAAGCCATTGGCCCTCTTGGCCACCAGGGCACACTGCTGGCTCATGGCCAACCTGTCGTCCACCAGGACACCCAGGTTCCTCTCCGCAGAGCTCCCCTCCAGCAGCTCATCCCCCAACCTGTACTGGTGCATGCAATTATTCCTCCCCAGATGCAAGACTCTACACTTGCTTTTGTTAAACCTCATCTGTTTTTTTTCTGCCCAGCTCTCCAGCCTGTCCAGGTCTTGCTGAATGGCAGCACAGTCTTCAGGCGTATCAGCCAATCCTCCCAACTTCGTATCATCAGTTCTCCTGCACTTGTTGCTGGTGCCATACGTAGTTTGTAAACAGCCATCAGTGGCACAGTGGTGAGGTAAGGGAATCAGGCAAGCAGCCTTGGGAAATGTTTCCCCCTAAAAAGAGTAGTTCAAAGAGATCACAACACAGTCTGGAAAATGCTTACTCACAAGAGCATCCAATTAGCATTCGGACCTGGAGCCAGAGCACATTGGCATTGCTTGAAAAGCAGCTGACAAGCAGCATGCTGTATAGCAACCCCACGGCATGATGCTGTCTATGCTCCTGCTTTGGACAGACAGCCATGTTAAAGGCAGCAGAGTTTGTTACTGTGAGCTGGAGGTCCATAGGACTCTGCAGGTGCCATCTCAGGGGATGTGAAGCAAATCAGGAAATCTAGTCTGTTGTCAAAGATCTAAATTCTCTGTGGTAATCAGCATCTACAAGGGACAGTCTGTACACGTGATAAAGGCTGAATTGGATTAAAATCATAGGGATGGAAAAATGGGTGCCACAGGGATCCTGACAACAGATCGCAGGGTGCTGCTGCCCTGGCCAGCGCTCTTCATGGGAAAGGCAGAGGACCACAACTGTGAGTTGTTGTTCTTCCATCCTTAAGGGATGAGGTGACTGCTTCAGCCTGTGCCTGCCTTGGCATACCTCTGTGCAACTCCTTGGGCTTTGCAGGGCTGAGAAATAGTGCTATAATCAACACTCTCTCCCTTGCTTTTTCCCAAATTATGAATTGCCTTTCCACTGACTCTCTTGAGGAGAGAGGCCGTTGTCTAAACTCTGCAGAATGATCCTTGCTAAGCAAATCCCAGCCTCCTGCAGAACATGGATGGCCAGGAATAACTTATCAAATAAAAGGGAAAATAAAGTAGAAGGAAACGAAATATCATAGGAAAAACATCCCTATATCATCTTCACTTTGTATCACTACTGAGAGTGCATGGAACAGACAGATAAATGGTAGATAAAATATGAAGGGACATCAAAAAAAAGACAAAACAATGCTGAAAAATTGAGTGATAACAATCTTGCTATTAAGCCTAAACAGAAAAAGCAAGAAGATAGAAAGGAAGCAGATGGTCAGTCTTGCAGGTGGTATGAATAAATAATTCTGGTGTTTTGTTTTCAGGTAGGTAAAATGAAGCTAACAATTCCTCTTGTACCATACCAAGTTCTTCTGAAAATGAGCATGTTTTGTTGTAAGTGCAACAGTTTAAGATAATTATGAGAGTATGACTAAAGGGGACCTTAGTATTAGGACTGCTCTGAAAGTAGTGCTCCTTATTTTATTATGTTGGCTCACAACAACAGAGGAAAATGTTAGTAGTATGGCAGTAGAAGTTGACCTACATAGAAAGACTAAAGCCTACTTAGGCAGAGCTATACATTATTCTCATAAGAATAGGCTGCATTTCATTGCAACTTACTACATCTCTTCAGGTAAAATCCAGAATGAACAGCCACAACAGAACCCTTGCAGGAATGTGGTCTGCATGCATATTAAAAGTCCTGCATCGGCATGCAGAACGGTGCACTGCCCTGGTTAGAGCTGCTAATTACATGAAATTGCTGTGGCCTTGAAGTGCTAGCAGTGCAGGACTATGATCTGCTGGACCTGTGCAGCATGCTGATGAAATAAAGTTCACCTAGAATTCTTGCTTCCTGTTCCTTTTTATACAGTAGTAATATGGCATTTCTGCTGTGGCATGTTCAAAAGAATATGCAGATTGTTACTTTCCTGCCCATGCTTGCAGTAGCTAACAAGCCTGACACTGAAGAACACTCACAACTCCCTGATGGGCCCCTGAAGGGTTTCAGCATAGGCAGGAAGCTACAGTATTGAATGCATGCAGGCAGCACCATGCCCATCACAGAATCACAGAATCACAGAATGGCCAGGATTGGAATGGACCTCAAGGATCATGAAGCTCCAACCCCCTGCCACATGCAGGGCCACCAACCTCCCCATTTTATACTAGACCAGGTTGCCCAGGGCCCCATCCAATCTGGCTTTGAACACCTCCAGGGATGGGGCAAGCACAACCTTCCTGGGCAGCCTGTTCCAGCACCTCACCACTCTCTCTATAAAGAACTTCCCCCTGACATCCAACCTAAATCTTCCCTCCCTCAACTTAAAACCATTTCCCCTTGTCCTGCAGTTATCAACCCTTTCAAAGAGTTGATGACCCTGCTGTTTATAGGCTCCCTTTAGGTACTGAAAAGCTGCAATGAGGTCACCCCACAGCCTTCTCTTCTCCAGGCTGAACAAGCCCAGCTCCCTCAGCCTGTCTTCCTAGGGGAGGTGCTCCAGCTCGCTGATCATCTTTGTGGCTCTCCTCTGGACCCCCTCCAACAGCTCTCTGTGTTTTTTGTACTGGGGGCTCCACGCTTGGACACAATATTCCAGATGGAGCCTCACAAAAGCAGAGTAGAGCACCAGCTCATGGAAGTACTCAGCTTCTAGCTGGTCCCAAAATTGAGCAGGTGACAGTGCAGATGTTGTCATTCAAAACCTGAGCCTTGTTTTTCTCCTCCCTCTCCAGTCAAGAGAGAGGTCTGAAGCAGGCTTGGAAGGAAGCACATGCTAAGGCACTAGGCTGTGGTGCTCCTTAGGATGGTGTCACCACAACAAACAGCACTTTGTCCTTAGAAGGCAAAGGATGTCCTTCAACAAGTATTAAAAAAATACAGCAGAACTCACTCTTGTAAATCCTAGCCACATCCTGTACCAACAGATCATTTTTCTCTCTCTTGTTCTTCAGGGCTTAGAGACGCTTAAATAGAACTAAAAATCTACTGCACGATGCTGATTTACATTCTCTTGCCATTAGTTTTGTTAGTGAAATTTTAATTATACATCCAGCTATGCAGGACAATGGATATCATCACTTTTAATGTTCTTATTATCAACTATTACTGAATTTTAAGTGTCACCCTTACCAATAAACAGGGTCTAATTACCTAAGATTGTCTTATTTCCCCTCACTGCAGAAGAAATGTTTTTTCCATCCAACTATGGACTATGAATTTTTTGTAATGTATGAGGATAATTTTATTTAAAATAATTAATTTCTGATTTGTTCTTTTTAATAGGAAGAAATTCCTTTTCTCACATTTCTTTCTCATTGGTGACATAAAATATATTTTCATTTCCCTCCTTTTTTTAACTTTTATCCTTTTCCTTTTCCATAGAACAAATAGGGGAAAAATACTCTGAACATACATACATACACACACACACACACACTCACACACACATAAATATATTGCAATTGGAATCCACAGCAAAATGTTTCTTGGTGTTATTTTTCTCTCACTTCAAGAGAGAGAGTCGAAAGTGAGATAAAATGTTATTTTTAAAATCAGCAGTGCTGCTTTCCTCACTTTTTTTTCTTCTGCAATGTTTTTTTTTTCTTCTTCACTTTTTTTCTTCAGAGAAAGTGGGAGGAATGGGAAACAGCAGAAATACCATCTGAAATGGGTATTTCACCACAAGCATATGAAAACTTCTTGCTTTTGCTGTGTAGAAAATAGTAATTAAAGTGGAAGAATATAATTTAAATTAGTTGAAATAAATGTCAGCCAAGTAGTTTTTATTTGCAGTGTAGTTAAGCACAAGGCTCACCATATTAAGAAGTCAATGTCTCCTCTTAATATGTCTTTCCCAGAGATGAAGTCCTTCAATTCTCTCCCAGCTCTCTCTGCTGCCACTGCCCCTGACTCCTTCTATTCCTGACTGACAGATGGGAGAAGCAAGAGCTACACACCTGCTTCCTGCAGACTGCTCTCCTGGGCTAGGGTCAGTGCCACTAAGGCCATCACTGCTGAGCTGTGGACATGAAGGCTGGGCTGAGTGGGTGCAATGCACCATGCAGCCCTTGCTGCTGTGGGTCACACACAGGGGAGCACTGGGAGTAGGTAGCCTGGGGAAGGCACAGGGTACTCTGCTGTGGGTGTTCCTGCTGGGGCCGGGGTTGGGCCAGAGGGGCACAGGTCCCTTCCAGCCTCAGCCAGTCTGTGGTTCTGCAGTCTCTGCTGTAGGCTGGCAAAACTTAATTGCCAAAATAAACAACATTGCCTCTTCTTATGAAAAACCATCCACTTCGTGAACCCATTTCATAACATGTTCTGCAGTCCTCAGCTTAATGTTTTATTTAGTGAAGAGAGACTAGTTAAAGAGCCTTCTGAGCTACTCTGTTAAGTTCTTAAATTGGTCTGAAGCAGCTTACATGGACATGCATTTATTTTCTGCTGGCGTCCTTGGTTGAAGGGACAGCCTGAGGGCTTGGACATCACTGAGATCTCATTTAAAGCCTGAAGATATGACTCGAACAAAACCTGAATGTTAGTGGGTAACAAATGACAGCACCACCAAGAAGTGTCTTCTAGTTTTAGACTTCAAGTGCTTTATTTAAAACTATCTGTTTACTTTAGAAAACACCATATCCACAAGAAAAATACAGCTTTATGTGCAATGTTCGACTACATTCAGTTGTGGGATACCAATCTGCTATTAAATGCTCTGGAGAAACAAAACTGAACCAAAGCAAACAAGAAGACAGAGAACACTGGATATCGATTGTTGTCCCTTTAAAACAGCAAGACATTCTCCATAGTCCTCCTTCCACCACTGGAGTGGCATACTTACGTGATTTAGCTGCAGCCAGAAAGCTGACATCACTTCAAACACGAAAGGTCACATGACACTGAGTCAGCTTTACACAGCACATCTCCACATTTCACCCAGCAGCCGATCTGTTGATGCGCTCCATACTGCAGAATACAAATGGGTTTCCAGATACATAAAACCAAACAGACATGGGAGTGGCCAGCAGGGCCAGCTGCAGTTTACCCACAGGCCATGGAGCTGGGAGTCTGCAGGTTTCTCAGAGGCATGCTCATGGGGTTAAAGCATCTTCTCTTGTCTGACTTCCATCTCACATGAAGTGATGTAAGCTGGTGAAAACATGAGGGCAGAGGTCTACATCTCTTGTAGCACAAGGCCATTTTCTCCCAAAGGCAGCCCTGATGCTCAGAGTTTAATATGTGAAACATCTCCACCATCACAAGGACTGGCTGTAACCCTGCACCTGCTGTCATACAATGTGCTTACTGCATATTCTTTACCATGCAATATCCTCATAGAACAGAGGACTACCTCAGCAGGCTATTTCAGGTATAACTGTATCACCTACCTGTACAACAGCATTTTCTTCTTTGATTCAGTAGATTCATTGAGCCTTTTACTCTGTTTATCTACACATATTTTTCCACAGATGTTTATGTCGTCACTTTTTCTTAAAAAAAAAAAAAAAATATTGAAGTGCTAAAAAGCAAATATAATACATTTTGCATACTGGCTTGCATTTCCAAGAAAAATGCCTACTTGTGAAACAGGTTATCGTTTTACCATTATGTCTGGGAATGACTACCCACATTTTGCAAACAGTGAGCAGATCCTCAAAGAACCTTCCACACAACAGGGATAAGATGCTCATGTTAGTGACTGGCACAGGCATATGCCCCAAAACCACATACTGCACTGGGAGAAGCAAGCAGCTGGCACTAGTGGGCACCACGTGGCAAAATACTAGGGATATGTGTATGCAGAATACAAACTATCAGGGTGGGAGCATCATTGCTAAGCAGGTATGCATTTATCTTAAACTGCATCTGTGTTCTTTTCCTAATGGAAGCTGCAGGCTCAACAGGGAAGTACTGTAGAACAGAGGTGCCCATGAGCACAGTGCCAGTTTTAGGAGAAATGCTACTAGTCTTTGGGCATCTGCGTGACTTCATTTGTTCTAAAAGAAGTGTCAGACCTAACTCTGGAGGAGTGCTGCTCTTATCATCATCTCAGCCACCTGATGTGGCTGTAAAGTGCCTACAGCCCTTGGTGTACAGCAGCACAGCAAAAGTCTCTCCTGGATGCAGCATCCAACCACATCATGCTGTACTAGCCAAGGAACTCAGTGCTGAATACAAGCAGAACTACTCATTCTAAAGCTTCTAGGTATGGTGGGCATAGATGATGCTATGGACCTGCATCTAGAATAGCAGAGATTCAGTCTGAGATCTGGGCAGAGACAATCTGGAATCATCAAGTAAATGACAAGTGCATGTCAATTAGAATGACTGCACTGTGCCCCAAAATAAAGTGCTTACTCTAAGAAAGCAGAGCTGGGGTATCAGTTCCTCCGGGCAAAGACTGAGTGCAACCAGGGCACACCAGGGCTGGGAGCAGTGAGTGCTGCAAGGAGCTGCACGTTGACATCTCCTCAGCCAGCAACCAGAACATGTGTTGTAAATGAGGCTATCAACATTTATATCCTCTCCCAGGTCCAACACCACTTCAGTCACACAAATGATGCTCAGTGTATCCCAGCACGTGGTAAAGTGAGAGGAACATCTTCAGGAGGCTGATTTATCCTAGAGCGCTCCATCCAGATGGTAACTGAATTTACCTCTTGAGGGGGTTTTGGTGAACACGGGAGAGCAGATGTCTGGCTTTTACACGGCTTTCCTGAGGAATCCACCCTTCCCTTTTGTGATGGAAGGTGTTTTCCAGCACTACTGGAGCTGCCTAAGTGTGGTGAAAAAGGGCCACCTAAAGCCCTTTGAAATTCCGAGGCCTTAGCACTACGGTTTCCCAATGCTTGTCCTATCCACAACCCTTGGGATGAGTCGCAAACCCATGCACCTTGCAGGTACGCAGGAGCCCTACGTTTGAAGCATCTTTTTAAGCAAGCTGTAAGACTATCACTTAGCTTGCTGGCCGTAAGGGTTATCGAGCTGTACTGCACCACCGCAGGGCGTTGCAGAAGGCAGGGACCCAGAGCCGCATCCAGCCCGGCTGGGCGCAGCCGGAGCCCCGCAGTGGCCTTAACCATCGAGGGCCGCGGACTGCGAGACAGCGGGACTTTGGGGTCCGCCGGCGTCCCTCGGGCGTTGTTCGCACCCCGCGTCCTTCCTGCTTCCGGGGGCCGCCGCGGGGAGGATTTGCTGCAGATGACATCAGCCGTGGATGCTGGAAAAGCGGCGGCGGGGATGCGCCGGCTCCCCCCCTTCCTCCTCCTCCTCCTCCTCCTCGGCAGGTCCCTGCCCTGCCCCGTCTCCGTATAAAAGCGCGGCCGCCTCCCCGCCCGCCCTCACTCCCTGCCGCCTGCGGAGCCGCCGCCGAGCGGCCCTTCCTTCTCCCCTCAGCGCCCCGGAGCCCCGGGGCGGAGCGGGGGGCGCGATGGCCACCGTGGTGGTGGAAGCGGACTCGGAGCCCTCCTGCAGCCTCCCAAACCCCGCCGCCCCCTCGCCCAGCCTGTCGCACCGCTTCCTGGACAGCAAGTTCTACCTGCTGGTGGTCATCGGCGAGCTGGTGACCGAGGAGCACCTGCGCCGGGCGATCGCCAACATCGAACGAGGTGAGACGGCGTCGACGGAGCGCTCGGAGCGCGGCGCCCCCTCCCTCCCGCACGGCCCCGGCGGCCGCTCCCCGCCCGCTGCCCGCGGCGCCCCGGCGGGGGGCTCCGTACCGCCGCGCCCGCTGCCCCCTGTGGGGCGGGGAAACGCCCAGCCCAGCTCCGAGCGCCGGCGCTTCTCTTTCTTTAACCGCGGATCCCGGCCCCGCCCGCACCCCTGGGCGCCCCGCGGGGTCCCCCCGCCCCGCGCCCGCAGCCCCTGCCCCGCGCTCCCGCCCCGCGCCATTGTCGGGGCTGCGGCGGACGCCCAGCCTGTCTGCCCGGAGACACCGGCGGGTGGGCGTGGCGCAGTCCGCACTGCGGTCCCTATGGCAGCCCGGAGCGGACAAAGGGCGCCCGCGCCGCCGCCGCCGCCGCCGGGAAGGAGCTGGGTGGGGGCTGCAGCCGATCCCCGTCCCCATCCCCATCGCCGTCCCCGTCGCAGAGCCGCAGACCCCGGCGGCGATGGGGCGTTTTCCCAGCGACCGCAAGAGTGCGGCTCCATCCCTGCGCATTGTGCCCAAGTTTCGGCAGCGCGATGCAGAATCCTTCGGGACCCGAGCGTGACACACACCCACCCCTGTGTTGAAAGAAGTAAAAAGATGCTGGTAACGAGGCTGCAGTCTGAGTGCCCAGCCCCGTTATTGTCCAGCTCGGGCTGCTGTGGCTCGCTGCTCGTTTGTCCTTTCCCAAAGGCAGCTTTAGGTGAAGGTACCATACGTGAAATGACCAAGTTCTGTAAGTTTTTGATCTGGTTTCTAATAAAGGATATTGCGGTGTGCATGGGGAGGTGAAAAGCCCTGTTGCTGTAACAGTGGTATGAAGCACAAAGGAATGATTGGCGGACTCCATAGTTTGCTAAACTAGCTTAAGATGTGATTTTTTTAGCATATACCTTGATCTGGGCTGATGAAAGTGCAAAAATCAGAATTATGCTATTGTTAGAAAGGAGAGAGGGAGCCTGCAAGGGGGATTTGGTAGCAGCCTTGCATGTAGGTGTGGTTCAGCACTCCAGCTAGGACTTCGCTTGTCTCTATTGTTGTGTTCTCAATCCTTGTTGCTGCAGTTGGCGATTTTTCATGGTTCTTTTTCATGGCTGTTCATGGTAAAGAGCTGCCTCATCCCAGCTTACCAGCTTCACCGAAACCCGTTGATCTTTATCGCAACCATTGTCTTCTAGGGAGAACTACTGATGCAGATGCTTTGTCATTCAGAGCTTCTTCAGCACTGCGCTTCCCACATTTTAACTGATTGTTGATTCTGTTGGAAGTGAATTGGCTGAATTTCAATTATATTGATGCAATTTATAGAGCAAATGGATAAAACTTCTGTAAAGACATCTTGATGTCGTCCTTGCTCAGAAGAAATGTTCTTCAGTCGCTTCGTGAAGCTTCTATTGTACAGCTGCTGCTGCATAGCTCTGTTGCTGCTACCAATAAGTGTAGCACCTGCTTACAGTTCTAGATATTCAAAAGAAACTTTGGCATTTTTATTCATCATTTTGGATGGGAGAGTCACCTCACTCTTCCTGGACTGGGATCTTGCCTGCTAGGAAAAAAACCTTGGTCAGATTTTGGGGTGCATTGTTCTGGATCAGTACACTCTAAGACTGAAGGTCTGTCTATTTGAGGGCTTGACTAATCTTTCTCTTTGGGAAGTGCAGTGTAGTTGGGAAAAACTGGCTTCTTTTAACCTTTGTCCTCAGCAAAGCCATAAATGATTTTAGGGTTCTTGATAAGTCTGCCTCAAGGTCTTCTCTGGTGCATCTTCTAAGTACCAGAGAAAATTATGGATTCATGCACTGATCTGCAGAGCAATACGCCAGCGAAAACATCTCCTGATAGGACATCAGTGGCGTGATGCTACGTAACCTGGTGGAATGCAGAGTCATTTCTTAATATATCATGAAGTGGGAATTGCTTGGCAAGCTGCATTTTCAGTAATTACATTTGGGATGCCATTTTGCTCAGGGGGCAGTCTTCCAAACCACCATCCAGTAAAGAAGAAGAGGGGAGTAAGGAGAAAGCTTCAGGATCTTTCCACTGATTTGGCAGATGCTGCTGGGTGTGCCCTGTCTGCCGTCTGATTAGCCCTGTGTCTAGTGGCGCTGTGCTCCAGAGGCTGCAGAAAGAAAGAAATAGCTACAGCTCAGTCATCCTCCCAGTAGTTTCTTCCATGCTGAGAATAATACACATCATTGGATTGACCTTGGATTTTTGTTCAAGATTTACTTCCATTGTATCCAAACTTGATTTGGTGATATAACATACTTGATACATTTATGTTACATTTTAAGGTATTTGTATAATTTTTGCATCCAAAATGCTGATTCATGCATCTACAAATCTGGCCTATTTTACCCAAATCTCATTTTCAGACTCAGTGTGGATAGCATATCTAAGCATTTCTTTTTAGTTATTTTGCACCAAATACTGCATTTTGGACACTGATGGGCTCAGTGGTATGACTACGCCTAATCAGAATGATGCACCACTGCAAATAAAAAAACAAACAAACAAACAAAAAAAGAAAATGGTTTGGGATGGTGGGCAGTCTCTGTCATTAGCAGCAGTGCTGAATCATAGTCCATATTGCTTAACTGACCTTCAGAAAGCTTTGCAGCCTTCCCACGCAGTCTCGCTGTTGAAGGCCAGTGAGCTGCTTTCTTCTTCCTTCTTCAGGTTCAACACTCAGTGCACTCCAACTTCGTTATCAGCATTAGTTCACTACTCATATATTTCATCTGTGCTGTACGTGTGCAGCAATATATCATATTCACTTTCTTGCTCTCAAATATCCCAACACCTGGAAGATATTAAAGCTTGCTGAGCTGTGTCTGCCTGCCAAAACTACGCCCCGAAAATGCACCATATGGCCAAGAGATTTTTGAGAAACGAAAAAAAGGAGACTTGCAGAAGAGTCACCGCTTATACCTCTGAACAGTGATGTCTAAGTCAGGAAACAGAAGTGATTGATGATAGTTCCAGTATTTTACTTCAGAGTGGTAGTGAAACATAGATGATACTGTGTTTTCAAATCTCTTTAGAGATCTTTAGAGAGCTTTGCATCTACCTAACTGGGAGGATATCCCAGAGACACCTTGACTGGATTGCTGACAAGGAACAACTACTCAATGAATTCTCTCTGAAAAGGCTCTTGAAATGCAGATACCTGCATTTGCATGGAGAAACTCCTCGGAGCTGCAATGGAAGACCAGGAGAGCAGATCCGGTTTCTCTGCTCTTTCTCCTCCTCATCCTTCAGCCCTGCAACATGGGATCTGCCAGAGGGAGCCCTGATGTTTATGCTGCCTTAAAAGAAGATAAAGCACAGGAGGCAGTGCTGGCAGGAAAATTAGTGGCCTTAAACCCAGATCAAGTTACCAGCAGAAGTGCTAGTACTGGTCGCACAGTGTAAGGAGTTGGCCATATGCCTTTTCAGGCTTCTCCAGTCCAGAAGTACCAAGACTCAAAGTGGTTTAACCCAATGTCTTCATGCACAGACGTGGCCAAGCTTCTGGGAAGGGCCAACAGATGCTTTCTCATCCGCAGTTCCTTTGGCATTTGCTACCTAATCTGTATAAGTTTCAAGACAATCTCTTAGGAAAAAAACATAAAAATCACAATAATGTCGGTATTCAAAACTACAACAGTGTCAGGTTATATACAACCTATATAAAGTGCAACTGTCTGCTCATTGTTTTTGACAGGAAAATTATGGAAAAGTATTAAAATGTATTCTGTTAATTTGACTTGTTTGTTTGTTTGTTTGTTTTTAAAGATAGTCATCAAAATCATACAGTAGGAAAATAAATTTATCTTTTGGTTTCGGTTATTCTTCCTTCCTCCCCCATCAAATGTCAATTCTTAAAATGTGTGATTCCAAAATATATTTTTATGATCATGTGTCAAATGTCTCATTTTCTTTGTAGCTGAGGGGAGAACAGAGATGTGATGTTTATCTTTTCTAAAAGAAAAAAGATCAAGGGTAGCATTTCTAAATATCAAAACTAGGGTTTTGATATTCATAAATAAAAGATCACTTACATTTTAATTTGAAATCTTGGATGCTTCAAAGGTTTTTGAATAAAGAAGTCATGGACTCATAGAATGACTTAGGTTAGAAAGGACCTCAAAGATCATGTAGTTCCACTCCCCAGATGTGGGCAGAGTTGTCAACCACCACATCAGGTTGCCCGGGGTTCCATCCTGCCTGGCCTCCATGGATGCACCTCCATGGATGAGACATCTACAGCTTCTCTGGGAAGCTGTGCCTGCACCTCACCGCCCTCTAAGTAAAGAATTTCCTACTAGCCTCTAACCTGAATCTCCCTTCCTTTAGTTTAAAGCCATTCCCCCTTGTCCTATTATTATCTGACTGCATAAAAAGTTGGTCTTCATCCTGTTACTAAGTTCCCCTCTAGTAATAGGAGGTTGCAATAGAGTTTCCCCGGAGTCTTCTCTTCTCCAAGCCAAACAAGCCTAGCACCTTCTGCCTTATAACAGAGGTGCTCCACCCCTTCAGTAGTCCCTGCAGCCCTCCTCTGAAC